TACTGCGCCTCACCAACTGGGCCTCCAGCAGCAGCAGCAACTTCACCTGCCAACGGGTTCGTCGGGCCAGCCGGTGCATCATTCCACGACTTCGCCCACCATGGCCCCACCGGCGCACATGAATTGCCCTTCACCAATGGATTCATCATCCCATCCGGTTCATCACATGAACTCGCCGCCCGGATCGGGCCATCATCCGGCAATGACTTCGTCCACGGTGATGGGGGGTACTACGATGCCTCCTCAGCCGTACCCAAACGCCTTGCCCCCCCACGTTACAATTACTACCAACATCCCGGCGGTCCCACTGGAATCTACCCAAGCACCTACCACCATGCAGCTAGTTACTATTGGTAACGACCGAAACAAGCGGTCAGGTAGCTTGTTGCCCGGTTTTAATACCATCACGTCGAATTTCTCGGAATTAGAATTTGTCGTAGATCAAAGCCAGACACAGACCGTTAACGTGGGGGGGCTAAATGTAGAGGAGATCGCTCCTCAAGAGTCCTTTGAAGCTTCAAACTATGATCCATTTTCGCCAACGCGTTACAAGTCGTTGAATGATCTAGACATGACGATGTTGCAAATAAATGGAAGCAATATGATGCAGCAAAATGAAAGTGTAGACGTTACGTCGTTGAGATATGCATTTGATCGAAAAATTGATTTAGAGAATAACAATCATCTAACGCCGGTAGGACAAGCAAAGGAGGATCTGGATCCAAATATCGGCTTGCAGCCAAAGAAAGAGCGTAAAAGCAAAAGTAATACGAACAAGCAAGATGTCATCATCATCAATGCTAATTGTATCTCGCAAGACGGCGTCTACAAGTGTCTCGACTGCAATAAGAATTTCAACAAGCCCTGCTATTTGACACAACACAACAAGAGCTTTCATTCGGGCATTAGACCGTTTAAATGCCTCCTGTGCGGCAAACGGTTTTCAAACGAAGAGAGGAACAAAAAGCATTCGGAAATGCACGCGTTAGCCAGAAAACACAAATGCGACACGTGCCCAAAGATATTCGCTCATAAAACTGATCTTAAACGGCACACCTGTATCCACACTGGTACAAGACCGTTTAAATGTGATACTTGCGGCAAAGGATTCATCAGACACGACCATATGAGGAAACATAAGGAAACACATAACAAAAAAACGCGGGTAAACAACCAACGGCAATCTGCTCAGCGGATCGAACGAGCCAGTAATCCACGATTCAATGCTCAACGAGGCAACGCTCAACGGCCCAACAACGTTCAACGGTTGCAATTCAATAACAACTGCATGAAGTTATAAAGATTGTTTCTTGATGTTCTTGGGATGTCTACGTTCGATTGGATGCGCAGCCTCGAGATCGTCCTAATAACAAAACGCGAGGTAAGATTCCTTGCCGGCCAAAGGACATCGTCTTTTTATCCACGATAGTTTTGATTTTTTCTATAATTTTTTAACTGAAGATTCAATTCGACGATAAATTATAATAGAATAATCGCTAAATTAATTAATGATTATTTTTATGCTTATTGTAATTTATGATAAACTAGTATAATGATAATCTCAGTAAAATAAGGTTCGATGATGATTTATCGGGAATGACTCTTCCTCATTATATATGTGTTCTGTGAGAACAAAACTCCTTCCTATTTTTTTCGGACAGTTCCGATACATAGCGTTAAATATTTAATATCTATTCGAGTTGAAGGAGCTCAATATTCTCTAAACCAAAATAATTTGATGGAAAGATTAAACCGAAATCACTGATGTTTTTACACACATAATATAAAAAAATGAATCATTATAATAGAATAAGAATCATTGCGATATTAAGAATTGATTTCGACAAAATGTCGTGAAATCTTTTTCTATAGTTTTTGTCATATTAATTACTTGATTCAATTGATCACGATTTTAATTCAATAATCCAATGTTTCTGATGACGATCTCGAAAGAATTGGAAATGTCATATAAGTGATTGGGAAATTAAAATATCGACATGATATTAAATTTACAAACTGTACAAAGTATATTGAAACAAATATAAGTGTATATTATTATTATATTATAATTATTGATAATAGTATGAAATAAAAAAAGGTTGTTTAATATGAAATTACAACCGTAAGAGAAAGGCCAATAAACGTACTTGTTTTATACTTTTTTATACTTTTGGTATTAAAGTTACTATTAATAATTATGCATTTACAACCATATTTTATTTTGTGCTTTATCAGCATAAGTTTTACATTTATTAAAATTTACTTTTACTAATTGCATTGTGTAAAAATTTATCATGCACATTTTTCATTTTTTTTTTTTTGTAAAATATGATATATACATATTCATATATTTCTAAAATATATGAATATGTACATATACATATTCATATATATTTCAGAATGCATGCAACATGTTATGGATAGAAACGTAATAATTTTTCAAACTACATTATAATCATGAATATTATGATTATTAATATTATTATTTATATTAACATAAATTATAAAGATAAAATTGATATAAATCAATATCAGAATAATAAAGTCCTCACTGTTCTTTGATTGAAGGAAAATATAAAACTAAACATAAAAATATTTTTATCAGAAATAGAAACATTTAGCATAATTGACATAAAAACTTATATCGAAGAGTAGAAATTTACTCCTGCTTTTTTAAAAATATTTTTTATTCTATTTAATTGAAATTATAAATTTAATGAAATGATTATTTGTAGTATATAGTAAAATCTTGTAATTCTCTTTTTTTTCTCTTACGTGTTCAGTAATGAAAATAGAAAATATTTGAATAATATTTTTATAAAATTTAATATTAAAAATTTTTATTAAATTTAAATCTCTTCGTTTTCGGATAATTCCGATATATTTCGATTGATAAGAGAATCTCTAAGGTTTCTATCTATAACAGAATGTACTTTACATTCCTTTTGATGTGTATTCCAATTGTTGACCGGGCACGTTCTCACATCAGTGCCTCATTTGTTAATTTAAACATTTCAATTAAAAGTTAGGTAAGCTTTAGTTATACGATCTGTGCGTTGCTCGAATTGAATTTCGCTCCCATTTTTATATTTTTATATGTTTATTCAGATTTTTACCCTCGTAAAAATCTGGATAATATAACTTTATTTATTAATTTGAAAGAAAAATTAAATTCTTTTATGATTTTATATATAAATAAGTTACATGTTAAACTTAAATTATTTGAAAACAAAAATTTGTAAAATTATGTATATACTATACATAATTTTATTTTTATATTATTTGAGTCCTTCCATGCTATATTATTTAAATTATTTATACACCTACATTCCATCTATATTTTTCTTTGAATTTTTATTTTATTTATTAGTATAATTAACTAATGTTTTAACATTAGTAACACGCATTCTATTGATTTGACCAGTAACAGTATTTCGATATTTTTATTTTATTTATTAACATTATGTTTTTTATACTAAATATCTTGTGGTATTAATTATTTATTAGTGATTACGTTGTCGACATGTTCATATATTCTCTGTATTGAAATTTGCCAATTAGATATTTTCGCAGCTCAATCGTTCCGCATATTGACATCACTGATTAATCGATCCCTGATTAATTACTGGCAAAACGAGCTAATCACCGAAGCTGTGATCCCGACCCTTTGGAGCGAATTTCCCTTCGAGCCACGCGTCGTTCGGCGCACGCAAGCATGCAATTGTGGGTAAACGTTCACGTCATTATAACGAAATAACGCCCAGGTACGCATAATTGTTTCCGTCGGTTGTTGTTGAATCGAGCGACCGATTTCAGGTGCGCCAATAATTTTACGCGATTTTAATTATTTAAATCTTCATTCAACCGTTATTGTTTAAAGAGAATTATCTCTAATGTCGATTATGTTGATCTTTCGATTAAATTTGTTCTGCAATTGTTTCATTAAAAATATAATCTGTTTATATATAATATAATTGTACATATTTCATATTTTATATATTAGGTTCATGCATTTATCGTTACGGTCCGCATTTTTTAGGCATTCAGTTCTTTTAATAAAAAATCACAAATAAATGTTTTATGATTTTCGTTGCATATTCCAAATTGTTTGTTAAAACTTTTTCGACAAATTTATACTATTGATATTATTAATAACGTTTAATACTTAATATTGTAATATTATAGTAGCCCGTTTTTTGTGGTTAGATATTATTAATGTATTAATAATTTCTAATATTAACATAATAATAACATAATTAATAATTAATTAATAATATATTTATATTAATAATTTCGCAAGTGCCTCAAAGATTGCGTGACTGTTACGATAAATACCATATACAGGGTATTTCTAAAAGAATATTATATTTGCAGAGAGATAGAGAGAGAGAGAGAGAGAGTAGAGAGAGAGAGAGAGAGAGAGAGAGAGACACACACACATTGTGATTCATTGAAAATTTGTAAGGAAATGTAATTAACATTCCTTTATTCTTTATTTCTAAGATACAACTGTACTTTGCAGACATACGCATTAGCGGATGTTCGAAGCTGGCCGTCATTGCCAGTCACAAAATAATGCCATTTTAGAAATATCCTGTATGAAACTACGCATAGACATGTGTAGAGATAGAATCGGAGAATGTGTGCACACAGCGGTGCATCATGTATTCATATGTCATAAGTGCAAGCGCGATATCCTTTCGAGCCCTATTCTGTTTATTGTATTAAAGAAAGGTAAACATAATAATATCGACGTTTAATATATAACGGTAACACGGTAACATGGTAAATGATATATCACACTCTTGCCATTTTTACTACGTAATGTCAACCCGGAACTGTCTACCTCAGAGTTCAGGAATTTACGATGAATGAATGAAGAAAAAAGAAAAGATAAAAGAGCCAATGCAATAATAATAATAATAATACTGTAGCAAGCGGCCGTGCGGGCGAAACGACGTATTTCCACACATTGCATTTTAACTATTAACGGATAAATGCTTAAGCGTTATGTGCCGTCGATGAAGATCACTTCTTTATCTGAATATCAGTCTTCAAAAGTTCAGAAGATAAAGAAGGTATAAAAGTGTAAAAATTATTTTTTTACTTTTTTTCCCAGATCGCCCGCCGGTTTAATCGAGTTGTAATAAGACGTTGTAATCTAGAATTTAACAAAAATGAACGAATGATGAGTAATGCGAGAAGCAAAACAAGAGAGAGAAAGAATAGGAGAAAAATTGATCTAATAGCAAATTTGGTTGGATGTGTGTCAATGCGCACTAATACGACTTAAATATATATATAAGCATTATATATATATATATATAAATATTAAAGCAAACATAGAAATGTACACAAATTGACGAAAAGACTTACTCGCAGTACGTAAAATTGAGCCAATAATTTAGCGTACTATTTGATAGAATGTACATTTGACATTTTTATTTCGTCAATTAGAGCGTCTTATATTACGTTTCTACATCTAGTAGTTAGTGCGCAACCGAATTCGCTATGAGACGCGAAGATTCTAGAAGAGTGACGTACGTTTTCTAGACACATATCACAAACAGTGTTACTGTACATTCGATTTTAATAAAAAAAATAATAATCGTAAACACGAACGCGAATTGAGAAGAAAATTCCAATTGCGATCTAGCCATATCACTGTTTTGTAAAACAATCGTACGTCATATGAGAGGGCGAAAGGAAGATAATACTTTCGTTCGCAATTTTATTCGTCTCCGAATCGGAAGACGGCAAAGAAAAAAATATGAGTGAAGCATATGTAATAAGAACATTTTGTTAATAACGATATTTTTAATATGCTTCCTCTATATGTGAAGGATTATGTCAGAGATTTTGTGTATAGTTGTTCTCGAAGCGCGAATGTGCACTTCGCTTGTTTCTTTATTATTGACTATTCGATAATATTATATAATATTTTTCCTTATTATTATTATTATTATTGATAAAAATTATTGTATTATGATATTCCCTGTATATTTTATTCATTTAGAAAACGCCTATTGTTTAGAAAAATAACGATTAACCCGGCATGCTATGTGCTACGTATTCGTATAAGTGAACGCTTATACAATGTGTGTGTGTACACTGGGGGATTATTTTCTAAAACTTACATATGATATATTAGGCCAGTAGGATAATACATATCTTAGGTTTGAAATATCTAATAATTCTTTTAACAAATACAGTGTTCTAGGTTGTTTAAATGGTCTTTGGGACCATTTATAAGATTTCTTTGGAAAAAAAGAAAGAAATGATCCCCTAGATATTTCAGTG